GTTTGGATTAAAATGGATCCATTTACACAATAATAGTAATTCAAAATAGACAATGAATTAAAAAGATAATTATTCTAATATATCAAACCTTTATTTATCCTAATTAATAAAGCTTCATAACATTCAAATGAAAAAACAATCAAAAATTGTATTAAATCTTTATTCAAAAAATAAATTGATGTTAATTATTTAAAACCATTAATTATTGAGATAATAATACCAGTTTTGAATAAACCAGTATTTTATCTTGATACTCCTTTAGAAGGAGACTCTAAATTTTTTGAACTTCTTAAACAGTTTTTATCAAAAATTCCTTATATTGATGATGTTATTATATAAATGGTTTAAAACATATAATATCCATTGGCTGTTGGAGCTTTTAGTGTAGCTTTGAAAGATATTAAAGTTGAAATTACATAATTTTCATTATTAATTTAATTTATTGAATAAAATTTAATGAGATTAAATTTAAGAAAAAGAATATAATTATTATAAGCCATACTTCATTTATTTAAATAGAATACAAATCCTGAATATTTATTTTAACTTATCAAAGTGATTCCTTTTGATTGTCTTTTCTTAAATAACATAGGAGAACTTTTAAAATCATTAATAACTGAAGAGTTTTTATAATATGCATAAGAATAACAATAAACATTTGATCTAAATTCAAATTATCATTAATTTGCTGTAATTTACCATTTAACTTAAGATCATAAACTATTTTTGACTTTTTATCAACCCATAATATCTCAATTATAATAAATATATACTAGTACTTATACCCAAAAAGAAATAAAACATAAAATATTAGAATAATTAAATTACATCTTAAAAACATCTAATTAAGTCTAATTTTTAGAATAAATAAGTTCTGGATTATTTGCTTATTTAACTTTGGATTTAGAAGGAGCTATGATTGTTACTGAAGAGCTTTGGATAACTTCATTATAACATTTTGAATTAGTCCCATTATTAACTTAATAGATGAGTAAATTTGTTGGATTTTTGTTTTAGTAATAATTTGATAATTTCAATATAATACATTTAGAATTATTAATTAAAACTTTAAAAGCCACAAATATTGCATTGTAATAAGCAAAGAGAAATAAAACTGGATTATTCGTTGAAGAACTATTTTTAAAATATGGATTATAATTATTAAACAAATTACAAAGTATTGAATAAGATAGATAATTAAAAAACTTGAATTTACATTATTTAAGTCATATTTTAACATTATTCAGAGAAGTAAATCATAAGCCATAAGAGTATCATATTTAAGTATAAAATTTAATCAATAATATAATTGACATTACTGATTAATTCAATGCTTATGATTCAATAACTTTATATTAATTATTAAGATCAGTATATGGACCTGAAATAGCATTCAATAAAGAATAAAGTGAATAATTTAAGTAAGTTGCAATAAACTCTTTTCAATAGATGATGCATGTATTTGGAACTCATACTAATTTAGATGAAATATTAGCATATATAGATTTTATTATTGATCCTTGTTATTTTGAAGGAGAATTATATGAGGCAGTTGAATAGGTTATTAGAGTAATAATGAAATAGCACTAAAAATAATGGGTTATATAAAGGAAAATAGTAAATAATTTAATTATATGTTTAAATAAACATCCTAATAGATTACCTACATTTTACTATATATTATTTAAGTTAATAAAAGGAAGTGAATTGAGAGGATATGATTCTTCTGAAATTTTATAATCATCAGAGTAATATGTTCCATTAGCAAATAATGTCAAGCATTTAGTTTCATGTAAAGGAGAATTTTATGGAGCATATCCAAGATTTTTAGTTTTTAATTTCTTATTTGAATTGGGAAAATAAGGAGGATATGAAAAAGAATTACTATATTATATTAAATTCTTAATAGAAGTATCAATTAAGGATAGATATAAGAATGCATATATGCAATACACAAAATAATTTAGAATGAAATTACATGTATGGTAAAACATTTGCTGTTTAAAATATTTATTAAAACAAGAAAATTATTAGAAAGTATTTGGAGATGATAAGAAATATTTAATAGAATTAGAATAATTAATATGGAAGGCATTTGATACTTTGAATAATCCTTAATATAGATAATATATTGAATTGATGATGAGTTTTTTAATAAGTAATTATCCTGATATTTGGGCTCCAAGAATTCTATAATCATTAAGTGATCCAAAATTAAAAGTAAATATTTAAATCCCAACTACATTTATATCTTGTATTTTCTTATTACATAATTAATAAACTAAGTTTTCATAGAAATTCTTTGATAAACTATTTCCTTTAGTTAGTTCAAATGTAGCTTATATTAGATCTCTTTGTCAAACTACATGTTTATAATATATAAAGTAATAGAAATTGGAATATAAAGACTTCATTGAATATTTTGAAAGTAATAGAGAATGTTAGAAGATCATAAAGAATATAAGTGCTTTAATTGAAAGATATGAAAAATTGATGTAAACATTTGATTTAGATGGTATATTAACAATATAATTTGATACATTTGGTGAGATTATTCATCCATCTATAATTGAAATACTTAAGAATACATGCACTCAAACTATTGCTGAACTTAAAAGTGAAGACAATATGAGTGAAAATCCTCCACCTCCTTGGTTTTAATATGTCTAAAGATAATAATTGAGTACATAATATTCTTAATAGTTAAATTTCTAAAGGAAAATTAATTTAATAATGGATTAATTTGATTTATTTAAAGCACATTAACCAAGATAAATTGTAGGTGATATTATTGTTGTAGCAACTTTATTAGAAAAAATACCTAATTTTGGTCATCTTACTAGAACTTGTGAAATATTTGGATGCAGAGAATTAGTGTTACCTAACAAAAAAATCTTATAAGATGAATAATATTAAGCAGTAAGTGTTAGTGCTGAATAACATTTACCCATTTTAGAAATTAAAGAAGATCATTTAATGAATTATTTGTAATTAAAAAGATTATAAGGTTATTAATTAGTAGCATTAGAATAAACAAGTTAAAGTAAATCAATTGTGAATTTTAAATTTGACAAAAAGACTGTTTTAGTTTTGGGTAGAGAAAAAACAGGATTACCTATTGAATATATAGAATTAATGGATAATTGTGTTGAGATTCCATAATATGGTGTTATTAGATCTTTAAATGTTCATATATCAGCTGTAATTTGTGTTTGGCAATATGTCTAATAATGGTGTTGATATTAAATTAAAATTATTAAAATTGTTTATATATATCATGCATTCTTATAATATCTATTAAATGCTGGTGAATAAATTAATTTAAAGAATATTACAGCAAATATGGCTCCAGCAAAAGGTCCTGCTATAAATACCCACATAGAATCTAATCTTTCAATTTCATTAGTCTTTAATACTTAAAATAATTCCAAAGCTACTGCCATTCCAGGATTTAAACAACCTATTATATTAAGCTTTATTATACCTCCAGAATGGAAAGTGTAACATCTTGATAAATGTAATGACAAAGTAATTAGAGTAATACTTGCTATTGGTTTATCAGAGAAAGTCGTTTTAGGATTACCTTTCAATTATTTACAGATTTTACATTAAATTAATATCATTAGAATAAAAGAAAAGGATCCAAGAGCTTCACCACATAAGTCAGCAATTATCCAATGAAAATTCAAATCAGTCACCATAGGACTATTGATTTATCCCAAAACCATATAACAAAAGAATCCACCACCAAATGCACCAATCAGTTAAGCAATCCAATATAATAGACAAGTACCAGTTGATATTTATCTAGTCAGCCACATTGCTAATGTCACCTATTTATTATATCTAAATTACAGCTGGATTTATATGTCCACCACTAATTGGTGCACATAAGGCTAAAGATCCAAAAAATGCTAACGCTATCTTACCATCACTTCCATTTGAACATACAATCCTAAATTCTCACATTTTTATACCCATAAGCAAATAAAGCCATCGATATCATCTCTATTAATGCTCCATTAAATTTCTAAGCGTGTCTTTGAGAAAATGTCAAATGTTATTCTTCCATTTAGTCTTTTAATTTTCTAATAATTTTATTTATATAAATATAAAGGATTTGTATTATCAAATAATTATTATTCCCATAAATATTATTTTCCCTTAAATTAGTGCTTACTTAGATCCAACTCTATAATTTTCATCTATTTCTCTGCTTTTTTCTTTAAAATTATGTAAATCCCCATTTGATTAATACAATATAATTACTTAAACTGCTCTTTGAATATAAAATATCTTCATTATCCACTCTCCACTTATATGTATTTAATTTTTTACAATCATAATTCAAATATATTTATTCTACATTAAGTTCTAATTATCTCACTCAATCAAATATTCATTTATTTTATTTATCAATTATAAAATTTACATACAAATTCTTTCAAATTAGACAAACTCACTTTTTGTGTTCTATAACTAAAATCAGTTCTATATAATTATTCAAACTTAAGTATTATTTATGTTAATAGAAGGAATGTTATTAGAATATAATAATATTATTTTAAATTAAAGATTCAACTTTTAATTTAGTTTATATAATATTTTTATTATAAATAAACCAACTCTATTATTCAGCCAGATTAAATATACTTATATTCTATTTTATATTGCTAACATTTTTAATCTACATCGCAATTTTGATCAAAGTTTTGAATTTGATCAAACTTTATTTTTTATTAATGAGATGAAACTAAAATCTATTTAATCCAATTATAAATTTGTTGTCTATCTATCGAATTTTACAAAAAATATGTATTGTAAAATNGAGATGAAGAAAAAGAACTAATCAATCACAACAATAGAGTATGGAGAAATATTGCAAGATGAGAAAATAGTTCATGAACGAGAATTTTGAAAGATGGATCACCTTCAGTCAAAAATTTAAAGGGGAGTCATGATCATGATTTAGTCAGGAACAAGATGTAGATGATCAAGTTATGAAGATTTATGAGGCTTGTAACAGCAGTAGCTACTACACCAGAATCAAAGAAACCTTTCTCGCGGATAGCGGAATAACCACATTTATGATCACTGAGAGCGCAACTATGATACTGTTTACAAGGGAGTTAAGAGGGACAACTTGGTGCTTTCCAATTACACATGAAGTATAAATGTCAATATTCTGTCAACAATTCTGCTAATTCATGTTTTCCTTAGAACTGAAAAGAGGAGAATACAATCTAAATTGGAGTAAAGGACTCTGAATATGTCCGTTTTGTAAAATCGCCATTGATCATTATTGCAACAATCAAGTAAGTGCTAGCCTTGTGAAACTATTTAGGCAGCTAGCAATCAACATTAAATGACATAGACTGCTATCTGATCATTAATCAAAATTTTTAAATCTTTTTGTTAAAAAAATTATTATAGGAAAACTTCACAGAAGATTGGCCAAAGCTGGTAAAGTCCGAAAACAAACACCAAAAATTGAAAAGTAAGTTAGTAGACACAAATTCCAAAAGGGTAGAGCTTATAAAAGAATTTGTTTCAACAGAAGGTTTTTGATATATGTAACAATATATTAGAATTGGAGCAATTGTTGCTGGAGCAGTACATTAATAAAGAGAAAAGAACCAAATTGGCAAGCAGTAAGAAAGGATTTAATTGAAAGAGAAAGTAAAAATTAAGTTGAATAAAGAAGATAAAGAAAAAAGATCCTACCTTAATGATTAATACAATGAAGTAAATTATTCAAACAAATAAGATAATTATAAATAGCAATTTGATTTTATCTTATTCTTAGAATTTATTTTCTATTTTCTTTAAAAATTCATTTCTTTGGCTAAGAAAATTTGGTGTAATTAAATTTTATTTATTATATAAAAATGAAATGATTTACTAAATAAGGTTTCAATTTTAATGATCTAAGTATATTTAGTTCTAAAACAATATTTAAAATTCAGTAAACTTATAAAAGATAAATGATTTATAATTAAAATTGCAATAGAATTTGTATAAATAAGAGGAAGGAAATGAATCAAATAATTAAAACCTTTAAAAGAAAAAAGAATATATACAAATCAAATAAAACTGTCAGAAGACTTTCTTGACCAACTAGATATATTTTAGAATAAATTTGATTCCACATTTGTTTGCTAATCAATTTTTATTTTTTATTGTTTTAAAGCTATTGTATCTTTTAAAATTAATGTTTATATTGAAGCTTTATTCTTATTATAAAATCTTAAAGGACTTGATGATAGCCTAATATTTGAATTTAAACTTGCTTGAGAATTATTTCTTTATTAATTTATTTTAGTAGTCCCATCAATAATTAAATTGTTATATTTCGAAGTTATGCGGATTGTATTCAACTTTAAATTTATAAGTTCTATGTTTTAAGGTCCGGAATGTGGATTTAATCTTTACATTTATGGAAATTTATTTTCGTATTCACTTTAGCAGCGACTTCTCTCATTTTATACAATTTGAATATGCTTTATCATATTTTATACTCTAATTTGGAAGCTCATATTATTTAATGGTGCCTTCTTTTTTTAAGTGTAAACTTTACGTAACAACTTACATCTGTTATTTATACTTTTTTCCATCCTATTTAATTAGACATTCATTTTATGAAATAAATTTATAAATAATGAATTTCATAATAATTATACAATTAATTTGATTTTATAAAGAATAAATTACTAAATTGAAAATAAAAGATTAAATTTTAAAATCAAGGATTCTTAAATCTTCAAGAATTATTTCAATTAGATTTAATCTATTGTCTTTATCTCATACCCTTATTTAATTTAAAAAAATTAAAAAATTTAGATTATCTACAGAAAATTATTTAATTTATTAAGAATAAAATGAAGATTCAAATTCACAGAGTTAAAATTGATCATTTATTTAATAATTACAAAATTAATCTTTTATTCAAATGTAATATTTTTGAATTCAACAATGTTTTAAGTATAATTTATCAATTTTTATTATTATAGATATTCACTAAAATAGAATATTTCAAAATGATTTTTTGGATATTTTTTTAATAAACCAGAAATAGATATTTAATATAAGCAGAAACCTTAAATGGTTAGATGAAAAAGAATTTATGATAAATAAAAATAAAAGATATATATATATTAAAATGAAATAATTGATTAATATATTATTTTCAAAGAAATATAATTAAGAAACCGAAATTTCTTTTTTTGAAGACTAGTATAATTATTTTAATTAATTTAATTATTTAAATTTACTATCATCTATGAATTATATTGTAAGGAATAAGCATCGTATTTAAAGATTAAAATATTGAAACTATTTACAATTATATCATTTTATAATTAAATGTATCTAAATTATTATAAATTAGTATGTGTTAAAAATGCCATTCATTTTAATATATTTAATTTATGCAATTATTTATCTTCATTTAGAATTCATGTATAAGAATTTAAATTAATTGAGTAGATATTAATGATAAAACTCATTTGACTTTTAATCTAATATAAATGTAAAAGTTTATGAAATTAATTTGAGAATTTTGAGCAATAATAATAAAGAGAAATCATCATAAGTTTGTTTTTGTTACTAATAATGTGAAACCTCTTTTTGTTGATAAATACTTTGTATTCTGGTTTGTCTTTGCACATTTAAAGATATTAAAGGATGTTTTTCTTGGAGTAATGTGTGGAATTGGACTAGCTAATCGTTCAACTGATTTAGGAAATTTAGTATTAGAACTTGATCTAAATACATTATTGAAACTTAATAATACTTCATTGTTACAGGTTCTCCTGAATATTAAAACATAATAGAAAGATGTTGACAGTTTGGTGATTAATATAGAGTCATGGCTTCGTTGTTTATTTCTTCTATAAAATCCTAGAAAAATAAAATAAAAAATCTAATACAGATAGTATTTTGTTTCTCTTTTTAGTTATTTCTAAAGTTTGCTATTTATTCTTTTTGCTACTGCAACAGATCATTTTTAATATATCTTCAAAAATATATTAATATAAATAATTATCTTTTAATTCATTGAAAATTACTGTTGAGCTCCTTATTTTCAGTAAATTATAATAATATATTTATCATTTAAGGATGTTAAAGTTTTAAAAATTTAAGAGAAAATTTAAACTTAATGTTATTTATACTATTCAATTTGATAGGAAAATTAAAGAAATTAATACAATTTCTGAATTCCATAAAATAAATTTATTGATATAATTCATAATAAACAAAATTCAACAACAAAATAATATCATTAAATTTTCAAAAAAATTACTTCAATTATGGTTTTTATATAAATAAGATGATTATTGATTTTTATCTAATTAATTATAATTGCATAAATATTAGACTAAAAAATCAATTGTTGCAATATTATTAATGATATTTTATACATTCAAATAATAAATTAATAGAAATAGTAAAACATTATTAGAACTTTTAGATTTCTAAATTAATTTTTTATTAATTTTAATAAAGAACAATCATTCTAATTATTAGATATATGATTGTAGATATATTATGTAAATTTAGCAGTATTTTTAATGGAACAGAGATACAAAATTATATTGAAACTCTTAAGGTAGAAAAGAATTAAAACGCAATATATGGGATTGAAGGGAATGATATATTTTAATCCTGTTAAATTAATACTTATAGAGGATTTAGACAAAAAGTAAGAAAGTTATTCAATATGCAAAGTTTAATTATGATAATATATATATATATATTTATTATTAATATAATTTAAAATGGAAGAAAAGAAAGAAACTTAAGACCTTGCTTAATTAAAAAAGGAAATGCTTGGAACAGCTATTATCAAAGTAATAATTAATGTAAATTAAAGGATACAGATATGAGTCCAGATATGCTTTCAGAGGTTTAAGACTCGATAGTTTCAGGAATTGAAAACAACTCATCTCCAGTTTTATCGATTGAAGTATTATAATTATCCATTTTTATTCAAGAATGCTTGTAAAACAATTAAAGAAGCACTTGAAAAGAAGTATGGTCCAACATGGCAAGTTATTATAGGTAATTAATTATATTAATGAAAATAAAGGTGAAGGATATGCTTATGATGTAACAGTATAAAACAATACAAGATTATTTATGTTTTATAATGGTAATTTGGCTTGTCTAGTGTTCAAATCATGATGCATATTTTAAATATCAATCTTATTAAAATAACTTATAAGAAAAATAAAATTATTAATATACTTTATTAAATTTCTTCTCTAAAAAGGAATAGCATAAACTAAGTAAAAACATAATGTTTTGTTTTGAACCATTAAATTTACTTAAAAAGTTGCAAATTTTTATTTGAAAATATATCTACACTTTTGAAATTTAATAATAAATCTAATTATAAATAGAAAGTTAATTATATCTTTTCTTATAATAATCTTTACAAAGATAGTGAATCATTTTAGTAATTAGTTATTGAATCTATAAATTAGTTTTATATAAATCAATTACAATGAGTATTTTTTTTCAATTATTCTTGCATTTATTTATGTCCTTCCTATATTTGCATTATCCTTTCTTTGAAAAGATTGGCTATATTAAAAATAGTTTAATAAATATATTTTTATATATTTATTTCTGATTCAAGTGCTTCTTTTAATTCATTTATTTTTTAATTATTTTTCTGATTCTTTAAAAAATTAATTAATTCTTGTATTTCATATTTTAAACATTCATTCATATCAAGTAATCTAATTCTAAATTTCTCTCTTTTGCTAAGAAAAAACAATTTTTAAAAAAGATTTTAAATATTATGACCGAATTCAAATCCAAATGTTATTGATTTTTATTATAGCATTATCATATTTTCGAAAATAGGCTATAAAATTTAATGTTTCTAAATGTTTATAATTTCTGGATTTGTTTGTTATTCAGATTTTTGTTAATTTTTCTAATTTTAATTATTATTAATATTTTAATTGAGTTTATCCTTATATTATTCCTAAAATTTTTATTTTATCAAATTATTATATGATTTATTTGAATTCTTATGAGATATCAATTAATATATGTTTCTTTGATAATCATCAATAAATTCACATATATTATGGAAATCAGAATTCCAATCATCTTCATTTGGAATCTGATTTATTCTTTAGCTATACGATTTAATTTTATCAATTTATTCATTTATTATATCATCTTTAAATTTTAATTGTTCTTCTTTCAGTTTAAGTTCTTGCTCAAGTTCTTTAATTTTCTTTTCATACTCATAATTTTACAACTTTTTTTCAGATTAAGATTTTAATTCTTATATCTTTAACGCTTACTCATTTTATTTATTTAATTTTGATATATTCTTTTTTCTTTAATATTCATAAGTTTTATTAATTGGAGATTTCTATTCAAAATAAGATGTTGTATTCTATTCTGGTTTTTTAAAACTGTTGTATTCCTGTTATTACCCAAAAGAAATAGTATTTTTATGTTATCCACTATCATAGTGTTTTACTACAGGGGAAAATATATTTAATTAAGAAGCAGAACTATCAATTATAATTTATGATGGATTATTCCTAATAAATTTCTTATTTTGAGTATTTTACAAGGGACTGGATGCCTAAGAAAAGTATTTCTAATCATCTTATTTTTAAATTTTGAGAATAGGAATTTGAGTGTTATTGATTTTAATATCTTTTAAAGATTTCATTTATGGAGTATGGTTAATTGAACTTTTATTGCTATCAAAATAATATCCAAAACTATTTTCAATACTTTCATATTTCATTTGATCACTATATTCAGATATTTTTGACATTCTTAAACTTTATTTTTCTTCATGTTTAGATTATAAATCTTTTTAATCTTAAAATTCTGAAATATTTTTAGATATTCTAGATTTATTTGATTCACTTGAATCATTGTGATCCTATTCCTCTTTTATTTATCTTTAAAAAATTGTTTAATTATTTTTAATCATATCTTTTTTAGTATTTTTTGAATAAAATTAACAAGACAATTAATCCTACCTCTTTTTTAAAATTTCATTAATTTATTAACTTTGATAATTTTATAAGACATTATTTTATTAATGTTCATATTATACATATTTTGATTCTTAATATTCGTATTTATTAATACAATCAATTTAATTATCTTCTTAAAGACTTAATTATCTTTTCTATTCATATTTTAAACTACCTTCTGAATTTGTATATCTTTTGCTAAATGATTTTTACTAAATTCTACTTCTGTTCTTTTGATTTTATTATAATTTTTCAACATGATTATCTTATTATATAATTTACTTATTATTTTGAAGTTTATCGTATAAATTTTCAATAATTTCATGAAAAGATGAATTAATTGAATTTTAAGTTATATTTAAGCTTTCTAATTATTGAGGTTGTTAAAATATTTACACTCTACAATTTAAATTATTCTTCTTATCATTCTCATTTTTCATCATATATTTATTCTACATCTGCTAGTTATGATTGGGTTATTCATTAATACTAATTTATTGCTGACTCTCATCATAGAATTAACTTTATTTTAAGTCTTATAACATTTTTAATTGTTAATTTAACAAATTTTTATTTTTTTTGCAAAATAATTGTATTATAAAATAAGCATGATTATATTTTTTGATAGCTTTTTATTTCAATTATATCAATTATTTAATTCATTTTATTAGATTAACTATGTCAAAAGCATTTATATAACATATTAAATATTTTTGATATATATTTATTAGGAATAAAATACAGTAATTTATTCAATAATATTTCTACATAGAATTTATTGTATTTTAATATTATTAATATGGTACTTGTTACTGATATCTTTATTGATTATATGGATATTAAACTGAATATTAGGGTTAATTTGAATAATATTAAGGTTATTATTAAGTTAATTATTATGGATAAATTTGATTCAAAGAATTGAAATTTGAAGGAGATTAATGTTATTGAATCTAAATTGATTATGGATTAATCTATTGATATCTAATAGTCTATTCAAGTTAATTTTGATTAGGATTATGTTTAATTATCTCTTGATCATTATTTTCTTAAATTAAATGAGTTTTACTCTAATTAATCTATTTTTGATTTGGAGATTATGTCTTTTTTTATAATTGATTATTTTATGATTTTAATGTTAAAGCTTTGCTCTTAACAATTTCAGGTGGAGCAAGTTTATGCATATCTAAATATTCTGTAAGATCTTGATGTATAACACCAACAATTTCTGATAAGTGAGAACTTAATTAAACTCTAAAAATAATATTAAATAATACGATTTGTATTAATCAAAAGTTATTTCAGATTGAACTTCTTTGAATCTGGTTGTAAATTTATTAGCAACTTAAATATACTATTAATTATCTTCATAGCTTGGAGATGCAAGATATGGCAAGAGAGAATACATACATTCTGGTTATTAAAGTTTATCTAAAAAATTAATATAAGCTCCTTGTCTTGCTTTTAAAGCTCCTATTAGTGCATCTGCATCTCTTTTAAAGTTTTCATAGTTTTTCTTTTATTTATTTTCCAATTCATTCTCTAGAGTATCAAAGTATTATTCTATAATATTGAGAATTCTTTTCTTAGCTTCTTTAAGTTTTTCAACAGTGTAAGCTTTTTAGGAATATGCTTAAGCCTTTGATTTTTAAATGTTTTATAATGCATTATTAATTTAATTTGCTTTAAAATATTATAGATATTATTACCTTATTAACAAATATCTGAATGAACTTAAGTCAATATATTTTCTAAACATTCTAATTTTGGATATGTTTTAAATTGAGAATGTTCATTCACATGCTCTTTTACACATTCTGGACATAATGGTAATCTACATTCTTTTGATTAACAAAAGTTAGTGATTGTTTGACCAAGATGATTATAACAATTAATCTACAATTAATATGAAAAGTTGATTTACTTTTGGCATATTATAAGATGTAAAAACAAAAGGGTTAAGATTTCCTCCTGATTTTTATTCATCAGTTAAAGACTATTATGGAGGAATTGCCTATTATATAATTATATATCAACATATTATTGATATGTGAATTCTCTTTAAGAATCTGACTATTATTCTATTTAATTTCTATTAAATCCTGGACTTGCTTCTGGTTATTCGTACATTTCAGTTAAAAATAATAATTAAGTTTTGAATATTGATTGAATTATTTTTTAAGAAGCTTTATAAATGATAATATTTAAATAAATAGATTTGCATTTTATTTTAACTTAAAAGTTAGAAATTGTACATTGAATTTTATATTTACTCTAATGATATAAAATAAATAAATTTAGAAGAATAAAATTCAATTTTAGAGAGCATTATCAAATTATAAAATTAATTATATTAGATACTTATTATATTATTAAGGATTTGGAAAAATAAAAGAATATGTAATTACTTTGTATTATAGAGCTTTTTAAATTATGTTATCAAGTAATTATTATTCTTTACTTGTTGATGTATAAGTATTAGGTTTGTATATTTGCAGAAGAATTTTATTCCATGCTTCAAATATCTTATCTTATTAAACTTGTTTTAGAAAAAGATGATAAAATTATTTTTACAGAAATAAAGTTTAATATTTATCTTACTATTTATTTATTTCATAAATTTTATTTGTATTCAGAATGACTAAATTCAATGAATAATTAATTTCTTAAGATATTAAAAACAAATTAATATATTAATATAACTATTTAAATGATCAATCATTTTTATTAATTCATCGTAATCACTAAATTAAGGACATTTATAAACTCAATTTAATTTTTATATTAATTTATATTAATAGAATTTTATTATATAAATATTTTAGAATAATTTGTTATTTAAATTTTAGATATTCTAATCCATAATTAATGATTCATACTTAATTTACATTTTATGGAAGTGTAAATATTATAATTATTTACAAAAATTATATACACATCAATAAACATAACAAATTTTTCAATTAAACTCTATATCTATTCCAAGAAATAAATTATTCTAGATTTAAGTTTTAATAAAATAGAATGAATTTTAATATGAAATTACTGTAATAATAAATTCATTTGATCAAAAATAAGAATCCTTAAGTGAATAAATTTTAGCCTTAGTAATGTAACTATTTGGAGATGTAGAATTAGATGTCCCATCACTTAAATTGTATTATTATGATTAATTCAAAAATTTTAATTTAATCTAATATTTTAATGGATTCATCTTTTAAAATATCAAAGATTTAATAAAATTAAGTAATAATGATTGTTATTAAATTCATAATTAAATCATAAGTGAGAGAAAATTAATGATAAAGAAAATAAATGTATTTAAAATTGATTTGAATTAGGATAATATATAAAATTATTAAATATAAAATAATATATTTAATTAGGAAGAATAATAAATAATAATTTTTATTGATTATCATTATTAATTAATTAAGTAAAATAAAATTAATTTGATTTCAATGATCAAAAACATGAATTGCAGAATGTGATAGACATTATTCTTTAAATTTAGCATCAAATCCTTATAATCTTAATAGCTTTTATTCTAAAGTAGGATAATTTTTCATGTTTTCTTCAATATCATCAAAATCAACAGTGTCTATTTGTTTCAACATTTCAATATGAGGTTGACTAGTTATTATTTTTTAAGGTTAAGATTTTATTAATAAAGCATCTTGATGAGAAGGTATATATTTAACAATATTAGAGGATTGAGAACCTAAAATTAATAGAATCAGTACCCATATAAGATTATTTTTTTGTATTTTATCTATGTTAATCATTTAAACCATTTGGGACAGCTAAAAATGAACTTTATTATTTCATATCTCCAAGTTTTTCTGGTATTTTATCTGTCCATTCGAATTAATTATCATAAGTATTTGCATCTGAACATTATCTCATAATTTTCTTTAATAATTCATAATCAGGTTAATCTTAATAATTAAGCCCTTTTAAATAACTAGTTGAGATTAACAATATACTTTAGATATTCTGAGAAAGGTGGAGGCAAATCTTTACAGAGTTGCTAAATTGATGTTTGCATCTTCACTTCTCCAACAACAACTGTTCTGTCTTTATCTCCAATATTTTACAGATTTTACCAAGGTAATTTGCTAATGAAATTAAATAAGATGTTTACCCCAATATAAGATATATTATAACATACATAAGAGATTCTAAGTCATCTTTTCTACCTATTTCATATCCTTTATGAGCTGCAATTGAAGCATATCTAGTAGTTCCAATAAATGATTTTTTATCTCTAAATGGTCTATTTTTGAATGTATAATAATATATACATATGCTTTCCTTAATCAAAAATCTATTTAGAAACTCCAAAGTCAACTAAATATGCTTATGCTAAATCAATTTTGCCCATCATTATATTTTCAGGCTTTAGATCTCTATGAACAATTCCTTTATTGTGTACATTACTAAATATTGTTATAAGCTATTCTAATAATTGTAAACCAGTTTTCAATGATAATTGTTTGTAATTTTTTACATAATAACCTAAGTCTTTACCTAATATATCGATGACCATAACATTGTAATTTTACTCACTTCCAAACCAGTAAAGTTTAGTAATTCCTTAAATACCTTACAATTTAGTTAGCAAGTAAACTTCTCTATCTAATGTTTCTTATTCTCCTTTTTCCAATTTAACAGCCACTTCTTCACGAGTAACTTTATGAATAGCCAGATAAACAACTCCAAAAGACCCAGAACTCAATTTTTATTTGATAATGTATTTGTTATCAAATATTTTAGGCTCCAAATAACTACTAGGTAATTTTTTCATTAATAATTTTATGCATTCTGGATCATTTATTGCAAACACTCCGATTACTGAGTTAGATGACTTTCGTAAAGAAGTACGTGGCAAAATTAACAGTAAATTTGATTAACCTAAACAAATATTATACTAACCCAAAACATCTAACCTTGGATAACTCTAATAAATTCTGAGATCAAGTATATCTCCTAAATCACCAAAAAATAATGCACTTCATAAATCATAGAATTCATCTCCTCAATAACATAAATCACCAGGTAGATTATCATTTCAGAGATCAAGTCTTGATTTATCTAAACCTACTTAAAAGTAATCTATAACTAATATGAAGTATTTTATATCCAAAAAAACAATTACAAGATATATTACCACTGAATAAGATCATAGAATTACAAAGAGCCATTAAAAATTATAATCATCCTACTAATAGTAGGTAAACACTTTAATTCTATATTAGTTATTTCCTTGAACTTAAAAAACTTGCTAAAGTAGTCTTAAGAGAAACTCAAGGATGAAAATAATTATACAATAACACCTCTTTTTATGTTAATAGTAAATTATTAATTTTAACAGTAAAATGAATACTCATCAAATTTAATATCTCTATAAACCTCCCACTAGTCCATAGTAATTAACATCTAGAATGTATCATTACATTTAATATTATAAAAGGACCATTAATGATTAGATTTCTCCAATTAGAGATATTATTATGCCTAAAACTAATCGTGTTAGCCAAAATATTACTAGAAATAGTGCAAGAGGTATTCCCTAATTGATTACAACAAAAACATAACCATCAGTAGCAAGGGAATCTTGTTAGATAACAAGAGAATCTATTCATATCAAATAACCATCTTCAATACCAATTGATAATTTTACTAAAGCCATTTACTAATTAAGTTAAATTAAACAAAAATATGATAAATCACTTGAATCATAAATTGATGCTATAATAATCATGCTCAAAACTTCAAATTTTGATAAAGAAAATTGTAATCCTAACTAAGAATTAAAATAATAAATTATTTAACTATAATCAAGCAATGAAAAATTACAAAATGAACTTTTACATAAAAAATGTGAAAAAACTAATATCTAAAATCTTGAATAAATTATTGTCAATCTTGAATCATAAAATAAATCCATTATTAATTAAAGAGACATTCTTAAATCAGAAAATGAAAAATTACAACTTAAATTATTAAACAAAGAATAACATTTTGTATCACTTCAATAAGAAATATAATAATAAAGAAATTCATTCTAACCTTATGAATTGTTATACAATTAATAAAGATAAAAAATTATTGAATTAGAAGAATTGATATAATCATTTAAGTAAATTAATTGCACAGAAAATGTAGTCAAATAACAAGATTATCAAGATCTCAAATGGAAATTTGAATAATCAAGTACTTTCCCTTTTTATAATTAGTTATTGCTTATTAGAGAAAGGATAAAGATCTATAATCTAAACTTGAAGAAATCAAAAAATTAAAATATTAAGTTGAATAGTTATTAAAAAGAAATCAAACACTTGAAATTAAATTACTTGAAATAATGGAAACAGAAGTCAAATAAAGAATAATAGTATGAAAAATGTAATATCTTAAAATAAATATACTCCATATATAAATTATCATTCCTATTATTATTCTAATGATATTGAATCCTATTCTATTTATTATTCATAATTTTAATTTTAATTAATCATCTACTCCTTTTCTTATGATTATTATTAATCAGTTTAGTTATCTTCCAATAATTATTAATTATTCTAATGATTTTTCTCTTAAGATAACTTTTCATTCTCTTATTCTTCTTGATAATCTTATGTTTAATTTTTGCTTTATGATTAAATTGCTTATTTTTATTTTTACTCTTGTTGCATAATCGTTATTATTGTGTTTTTCTTTGATAAACCATTTTTATCCTTAAGTTAAGTTGCTTATTCATTTACTTTAACTTCTTCTGTTTAATTTTTATTAGTATCCATATATTTTGGATTTTATAATAAAATTCTTTTTATTAACTAAGTTCTTTCAATATTATCTTTACCAGGTGCTATAAACTTTATATCTGTGTTCTTCTCATGTCCTAATATACAAATTTCTAAAAAATCCATAAATAACATTGGAGCAACTACTTTGAATTAATCATATTGATAAAAATCAGATATTGGTTAAACTCCATCAGACCTACATTTCCATTTTATTTCAAATAGACAGTCATCTTATGTTAAAATCAAATTAACACTATCAATTTCATCTCCAGATTAAGGATATGAATTGCAATATTTTTATGTCATCTCTCTTTGTTTATTATATAGTAACTCTTCTGAACAATTAGGATGCTTAAAATTTGATTAAATAATTTTTTATAATTTTTTTTATGGCCCAATTTATTTTACTTATTTATCATCATTTTAGTTGGTTTTTTATTCTAATTAATTTGTTGGTAAATTTTAAATTAAATTTCGAATATTTTCTTCAAATTCCCAAGTTGGTTCCTCATGATCCTTCCATTTTATTAAATATTATAATTAATTATTATTATTTCTCTTTGACAATATCTTTTCTGGAGATCTTTTATTTATTTATTTCTAATCCTTTTCTACAATTGTTTTCATCTCTTGCTTTATAATATTTAATATACATAGAATTAGAAATTTGAATATAATAAGTCCCAAAAATTTGCATCCAAATTATTAAATAATTAATAGAAATTTATATTATGAATAAAACAAAATAAAAACAAAATTCCTTATTTGATCTCTCAGTCATTATTGAAAAAATCAAAAATTTAGATGAATATCAATCTACAATGTTTCTAATAAACAAGAGACCTAATTATGAATTGCTTAATTAATCAAATACATAATTTATACCTCATATTTTTAATGATTTTGAAATTAAAAGAAAGTTTAAAGAAATCTAAAGGGATTCTTTATTATCCTGGAAACCTTTTATAATCCCAAATACTTTAAATAAATCTTAGATTTATCCAAAATAAATTAATACAACACCTAAGCCTTAAGTACTCTCAATAGAAAAGAAATACCCTTCAACTTCATTTAAAGTATAAAATGTAGTAAATAAAAGGACAAAAAGTACTGATTACAAAATTTAGCTAAAGAAAACAGTAATAATTGATAAATTATTTAGGAAACAAAAGATATTGAAGCCTAATTTCTAGAAACCAGAAATTTAATAAAAAGATTCAATAAAATCAAAAGAAAATCAGTAAGATTTAATATTTAAGCCTGATATATATTCTAAATAACTTCTATATATCAATACTTTTCTCAAAAATTAAAACAGATATTTTATAAATCTTCTTAATATATAAGAATATTTTACAAATTATTATAAAAGCGATATGAATATTTTCTTTCATATAAAATATTATAATCTGTATCATGTTAAGAAATTTAATATTTATTTATCTAAATAATAATAAAGTAAACTTTTACAATTATTTAAAATGTATTTTTATAGATACTGTAAAAGTTCTTCATAAAGCATGATCTACCATTATTCTACTAGAGATTAATATTCTTCTTAGACAGTTTATAGTTCAATAATTTTTGTGATAAATCCAGTTAATTATCATTATTATTCCAAATTTCTAATGTAAATAAAGCTAAGAAATTATCATTATAATGGAAGTATATTTAAGTGTAGAGTCCCTCAATTTAAGATAAGAATATTGAATTTATCATAAAATAAAGTTCAGACATCATCTTAAAAATATTAAAATGAAAAGCCTACACCATCCTCGATAAGTAAAGTTACTAATTATGAAAAAATCAAAAAAATCAGCATGAGTTTAGAAGTCAGAAATTAAAACTATACTTACAAACAGCCTATTTTATACTATTGTGATATAAATTAGAACTCTATTCTCTAGAATCAAAAATAGGCTAAAATAACTAAAAGGATTATTCCCTAATAGCTAAAAGCTGAAGAAAACAAGTTATAACTCGATAATATTGAAATAGGTTAATAATTCAAAAGGTTTTACGAAAGATATAATGATTCAAACAGAAGCAAAGACACTACTTAAATAAAATAATAATCATAATCAAAAGCCAAATCAAAAGATCTGGAAATTGAACCCAAGGGTTGGACTAATAGAAGCTCTCACAGTCTCTTATGAATATATCAATTTAAATTGTAAAAATTCTTTAAAATCAATAAGTGTTAATCTTATAACATATCCATTCTATCACTATATTTTATATGAAATGCATTAATGAAAATAAACTTATTTAAATTGTACTACAATATGGCATCTTTTTCTTTAGTAAGAGATCATAATTAATATAAGATAATTTCATTCGAAGTTATTCTTAATAAGAATAAAATTTTTTAATATATAACCAGGTATTTAACTAAAAATATATAAAATTCAAGTAATCGAAAGAAGTCATCAAAATTCTGAGTTTAATTAAATAAAAAAAATAATTTTCATGATAATTAAATATTTATTAATAAATTTATTAAAAATGAATAAAAAAAAAAATTAAATCTTATTTATTTAATTATAATAGCATTAAATCTATTTTAAGTAAGAAAATATTTAAATGAATTTAATACGCAATAACAAAAATACATTACTGTGTCATATAAACATTTTGATTCAAATCATTAATCAAAACAACCCTAATCTATTTTTAATTCTCTAAGCTTTTTTAGTTGGCAATTGATTTCGATTCTATATAAATATAAACTATACTAAAATCCATGGATGCTCTAAAGCTGATTACAAAGTAATTCTTTCATCCGGTTCTTTCATTAACAATTTTTTTATTAAATCTTTCGCATCTTCTGAAATCTATTACCAAAAGTCTTCTTGGAGATCATATTTACATTCAATAATATTTTTAATAATATCCTCTGGAAATTCTGAATCAAAAGGTAAGTAACCTAAGTTTAATATAATAATTGATGTACCAGAAAGTAGAAAATATAGAATAACTCCCAAAGCAAAATTATCAACCTTAAAATCAATTTTTTTTTATTCCAAACTCTCAGGTGCTAGATAATTAGTAGTTCCACAAAGTGCTTCCCCTTCTTTTGTTTAAATGTTTGTTAAAAAATTAGCAAAACCAAAATCAATAATTTTTACTTATTTGACATTTTTTTTTGTAGTATCCAAAACAATCATTATATTTTCTGGTTTTAAATCTCTATGAACAATTCCAACACTATGAACATAATTGAGAGTGTCAAAAAGTTAACTCATAATTAAAGATGCCTCTTGTTCATTAATATTTTCATTTTTAATAATGTAATCAAATAAATCTCCATCTCTTACTACTTCAGTGATGATATTTAAATGAGTTTTTGTTTCAATAATTTCATGAAAACGAACAATACAAGAATGATTAAGTAATTTCATGATTTCCACTTCATGACTAAAACTAAATACTAAAATTACGCAAGCATTAATTTTTCAGATTTTGATAATTTAAACTTTTCTATAATTTTTATAGCTAATGTTTATCTATCTTTTTTGCATTCACAAAGATATACAATTGAAAATTTTCCTTCTCCAATTTTCTAAAGAATTGAATAATAATCATTCACAGAAGCTCTAAAAAAAATGAATAATCATATACTTTTAGAACATTTATAAACTGTTGGTCCATCTTTTATAATCTTCAAAATCTTAACACATATATGTTCTAGTTTAATATAGTTTATCTTTATGAGATACTTCAAATCCATATTATTATTCTTAATTATTTACTTTTTCTTATATTGTTAATCCATCAAGACAAAAGATTCCTAAAATCTAATTATAATTATTTACTAGAAGGTAAAGTTGATTCTTTGGTTTTAAAAGACAAGCAAAATCTTTACATTAATTTAAAATATCTAGTATTAGTAAGTTTAGGATTTTTTTTGCTGATTTTTTTAAGTTCTCCTTCAAGATCTTTTGGTGTCATCATCAAACGAGGAACTGAAGCATTAGCATCAAAACCCCATACATCAAAATTGAATGCTTTATAAAGACCTTCAAATATTTTTGGATGCAACTTTACAAATGATTTAAAGTCATCAAGTGATAAACTAAATTATAAAATATAAATATACCCTTAATCATTTTTGGCTTTATGTTTATAAATCATATTAACATATTTATGAACTAAATAATTGATATTGACTCTTTTTAATTCAACTAATTTTCCATTAATATTGAAAGTTATGTTTTAACCAAATTGTCCCATTGGAACTCCTGTTGGTCCAATCATGCTCTCATTTGGAAACATCATAACAACACTTTATTCATTAAATGCTGGTAAATTATTTTAAGATCCTAGAGCAGATTCTCCTGATTTAGCCCCTTATATTGATTAAATTTCTCCACTTAAAGAGCTTTTTCTCTAAATTGCATGAACTAATTTCATTTTAATTATTATTACCTGATTCTGTAAACTCTTATTCATCTGCGCGTTTAGGTTAATTTTTTTTTTGATTGATCATCTCCTTTGTCTCATAATATTTTAGAATTTTTAGATCCTCCAAGAACATAGGGTCATCAAGTAATTTTATCAAATCATCTCGTGGATAATTTTATATCTATTTTATTATTGTTATTTACCATCTAAAGAAACTCAGCTTTTCGAATCAAACCTTATTTATCTAAATCATATAGTTTAAAAAGATGCTAAATTTTTTAGTCTTCATCACATTTTATATAATGGACCACTCCTTTAAGAAATTGCTCAAAATTCAATAGACTATGGTTTTCTTAGTTAAAATAATCAAAAACAAGTTCACCCCACAAACCAATCATTGTAAAGAAATCTGTAAAAGCAGTCTTGTTGACTAAGTTTTCTACATTTCTTGAAGCTAAGTCTTAATATATTAGATAAAGTAAATCAATTTCAATAACATTAACTAAATTTAGTAAAAATCATACATTGCTATTCTAATGTTTTTGGTAAAATGTAAGGTTTTTTACTTCTTTTTTATGGCTTACCTCCGCACCCACCCATGGAATAATAATTATTTAATTAATTTTATATTGCTATTATGATATTAATTAAAAATAAAGATATAAATAGAATATATACAAATAAAACATAAAATATATAATAAAAATAATTCAAATTCTTCATTTTTAAGTTTTACATAGTTAATAAATATTAATCATTTAGTTAAATTATGAAACTATATCAAGTAATCATAAATTAAATAATTATCAAATCAAAAATTAACTAATATATTATTATACATATTATTCCTAATCTGATTAATATATTGTAGTTAAATTCATTTGAATAAATTTAATCTATATTTGATAAGGAATTGATGTTTCATTTTAATTTAAATCTTATTTTTAAGTTAAAACTGATTCATTTTGTGACCATTTTAGATTGATTTCAAATAAAATGATTATATTTTATATATTATTCAACCAATGAACTTTTATTAATTTAGAAAACCCTAAAATTATAATTAATCATCAAAAAAATAATATATTTTATTTTAATTCATAGACAGACTTTCTTTTTTTGAATTTCAATTTTTGTTTCATAAAATTCCTATAGATTTTATTACTTTCCTAATTCAATTTATTCCTATCATTATATTTATTAAGATTACATCATTTTAACAACAAACTTCTGAGTCACTTTCATCAGAGGATATATCAAAATATTGTTTCATTTACTATTAATCAGAATTTGAAACTCTTGGAAATATTGAGTACTTTTCTTAATAAATATTATTTAAATCATTTGAATTGATCTTTAACCAATTTTTATCTATCTAAGAACCAGCTAATACTTGTATTACATTATTTTATAATTGAGTTAAATTATTACTAAAGAATCCCATATCAAGTTCACTATAATTAGTATATTTCATTCTTAATAATAAGACTTATTGATTCTAATGTGAATTTAAACTATCAACTAAACATTATTAAATCTTAACAAGTAATTATTCCAAACTTAATTGAGCAGAATAAAGATTAGAATTATAATAAAGATCAAATACTGATCTAAATTTTAATGTTAGAAAATAAGGATGTCTGCACTTATTCCTAATATTCTATGCCATTAAATAATTATTAAGTCCTTCTAAAGTATCTTCTATTTTTAATATTTTAGATTTATCAGATCTAACAATAAGTTATTTCTTGAGAGTGAAAGGATGAAAAGGTTATATAAGCGACATAATTTTCTGATAATCAAATCTCTTAGTATTTCTGGCAGCCTTCCTTGAATCAACAAAAATAGGAGGAGAGATAACTGATTTAATTGTTAATTCACTTTCAAATATATCATCTCTTCTATAGATTTCAATTATGATATGAAAATGGACACCCTAAAATTATGGTTAAGTAAAAACCTCCAGCTTATATGAAGTTGAACTGAACTTGATGTTTTCGAATTAAAAACCTTAGATTTCATCGTTATAGAGTTTTTCTGTATTTCCTTCCAGATCAACTTATCGAATTGTAGATACATCTTCAACATAGCCACAAATCAATCTACATCTAAGACCTTTTGTATATAATTTATAGCTATTTAGAATGGGTTTAACAGTGATTTCTGGAAGTTTCCAACTTTTGTGCCAATTCCATCCTATTCTTTTGGAGAAATTGAAAGATTTCTACATTTGTATATTGAATTATAGTGATTCTTCAACAACTGTACAATCTTACATAATTTTATAGTTGGTTTCAAGAAGACGATATGATTCTTATTAATTGTTTTGAGAATGAAGAGTTACTTGACATTCAATCCACTTCCAATTATTAAGTTTTTATTTAAGTTGTAGGAATCTATTTTTCATACTAAAAATAATGTAATTATTAATTAATCATTTAAAATGCTTTTTTTTACTCCAAGCAGCAAATTCTTTTTTATGGTTCTTTTCAAAATGTTACACTAATGTTTGTTCTTTCAATATCTAACCATCAAATTTACATTTGAACTTATTACCTTATAATATAAAATAGAATATATTACTATCAGTATCTTTAATACTATCTTCTATAAACATAGGCATCATAAATAAATTTTCAGTTTATGTAAGATCATCATCACTATCTGATTATAATTCATCATTCTTATCATCTTCATCATCATCATCATCTACATCTTTCCAATCATCATCTTCATCAACTTCTTCTTCAGTTTCCCATTCATCTTCTTCATCTTTTTTTTTTTCTGGCTTTTTTTATGTTTAAGCTTATTTGAAAACAAAAGAAGTTGGTATTTTGAATTTATGTTTGCCTCTTCCTGATCTACCAATATTAGTAAACATTTTCATAAAAGCATCACCCATCATAAAGTTCATCATAGACTCAAAATCTTGAGCATAAAAATCATCAAAATCAAAATTCATTTAGTCTTCACCATCAGCTGTTCCAAATTTATCATAATTGGCTCTTTTCTGACTATCACAAAGAACTTTTAATCTAAATTAAAATTAAACCTGTATAGGCTTGTAAAATCAATTAAAACTACTTCTTTGCTGTCTCTTAATTATCAGGGTTCTTATCTGGATGCCATTTCTATCTATATAAAAATAATAATTCATACTAAAGCTAACTTTCTATAAGCACTTTTAATCTCTTCAGTTGTAGCATTTTTCTCAACTCCCAAGACTTGATAATAATCTTGTTTATCCATTAATTAAATAATTTCAATTAATTAAGTATTTTTTTTTGGAATATACATATGAATATTATATTATATTGTAATATTTCACTCAATTATCTCCATTTCTTATCCAACTTCTGTAAGTTCTTGTTTCTCAAAATTAAATTCGTATTTCCTTAAAGCAGCTAAATATCTAATAAATTATTTTACGTGTATTATTGATTGGGAATGGATATGGTATTTATTTCTAATGAGATTTTGCATTATATTATCTGATATTTCTTCTATAATCAACACCCTCTTTTGTAATTGCAACTACATCAACATTGCTGCCTGATCTAAAATAATATAATCATAAAAATACCCCATATCATGGAAAATACCAGCCTCAATTGCTTCGATAGCAAGATCAATGGCTTATTATTTAGTAAGACCATCTTAAAATTTAGCTTCTAGAATTCCTAAAGCTGCAAGAGATCCACTACCCATTGATTAAAATGGATGATAAACATAACTAATAAATTAATTATAATCATTTACTTTCCATGAGGAGAGACAGAAGCCAATTATGGTCCATTACAATCTACTCCACCAATAATAAGAGCAACACCAATTTAACCTCTATAAGGAAAGAGTTTTGATGTTAATTTAGTAATCACTTCATTAACTCTACTTTATCTATTTAGATTAAGTCTCTAAAGTTTAAGTTTAGCATTAAAATGAGCACATTAATGATGTAAATCTGCAGCAGTACCTGCTCCTGCAGCCCAGATATTTGGAGCTAAGGTATGCAATTTCTCACAATTTTTATCTGCTACTATTGATCCAGCTGTTGCTCTTGTATCTGCAGCCATCACTACTCCACCATCAAATAAGACACCAACTATTGTTGTTCCTGTTTTTGTAAATGGCATTTCTTTAAATCCTTAAGCTTTCATCAATTCATTTCTTAGATTTCAATTAATCAATTCTGTACCTCTTGGTATTTGTATAGTCATATCCACCTTTGGATTGCAAATAATTGTCGAAGTATTACATTTTTATATTATTTAAATTTAATTATCATTCAGATTGGGATAATGGATGTTCAATTATAAAAAATATTTGATTCTAATTACAAAGGTAAAACACTCTATAATCATTTTTGTGAATTGTATTACTAAATGCAAGAGAATAAATATTATAAAGCATAAAGTACATAATCTAACATAATTTTAGGTTTGTCTGATTTTGAAGATTTGAGCAATTTTATCAAAGAAAACAGATTTTATCATCTACCACTTAAAACTGCAGATCAAGTCAATAATCTATAAGATCAAATATTCCCATGGTAAGAGTATTGTAAATAATAAATGTAACTTATGCAAATAAAAGCCAAAGTAATTAATGCTACAGTATAGAACTTTCTTAAATTAAATGCTCTATTAAATAATGTTGGATATGGATTTACTGATGAAGATGCTTATCTTATCTAATAATCACTTAAATCTATTGCCATTAGAGATTCTAATATTATTAATATTAGGTTTTGGGGAAAACTCTTTGCATAAAATAGAGATTATTATGTAATTGAAGTATAATTGTCTAAATCATATAAAGAACCTTAACCTATAGATTGTGATGAAAAACTTAATGAATATGTTCATTATGTTACACAAGATTGTAATAATTATAATAAAGAAATATAGTATTGGAGGATTGGGCATTACTACCTTAAGTAACTCGTAAATAAATGGAAGCTAGTCGATTTATCACATATGTATTCAGTGGAAATTTAAATAAAGAAATTACTTAATATCCTATATTTAATGGAAAGGAAAAACATTTGTTAAAAGCTTAAATCTTAAGAATTACTCATGCTAATCTATTAGCACCTAGAGGTTTATATAGATTTGATGATGAAACTAAATTAATAACATTTGAAGATGAATTCAAAATGCCAGAATCAGCAGAACTATCTACTATGGATGGTTGGGTTCATTTGCCTCCTAATATTTTAAAATAAGGAAGGATCACATTTTATGAAGATCCTTCTTTAAAAGAAGAAGAACTTAATTAAATGAAAGAAGCTGATCCAGAACTTGAAAGATTGAAATCAATTAAGGATGACAAACGTAATCATATAAATAAATTGTAGCTTTTGAATAAAATGAAGGAAATTGGAATATAAAGATATTTGGAGAAACACAATAATATACAAATTAAGAAGAATAACCTTTAAGTTATTAAATAGTATAATTAAGAAATTATTTATGGCCAGGTGCAATTACTGTTAGTAATGTATTTATTAGCATGAAATACTATCATAGTCAAATGATTTCATTAGCATTTATTTTGGATACGGAAACAAGAATTAATAAAATTCATTCAATCCTCTTGCTCCAAATGATATTCAAGAAGAACCTGAAGATATAGATGAAATACCTGAACCAAATCCAAGAGAATAACCTGATGAATTAGAACCAGATAGTGATGATGAAAGAAGAAGAGAATAAGAAAGAAGAGAAGCAGAATTATAATAATAATAGGAATGATATATTTATATTCTATCAATTTAAATAAGCTTTATATATATTATAATTGCATTTATTAGCAAATATATATATATAGAGTGTTTAGTAAATATTTTAAGTGTAATAATTCAAATTCTACTTAATTTATGTATATTAAAATATTATAGTTGACTCCTCTATTAGTAACAAAATAAATGAATGAATATAATTATTAAAATATATCCTATAAAAAGTAAAGGATATTCATTTCTTTAGAATAATAGATTCCATATAAATTTAATTAATGATCATTGTAATACTCTTATTGACCACAGTTTTTGCATTTCCTAAATACAAGTAAAACTTGTTTGTGACCAAACCTGATTCCCTTAAAAAATTAGCATATTAATTGTCAATGGCTTCTGATTTATAAGTTGACGTGGATCAAGATCAAGTATGGAAATTTAATCTAATAAGGTTTGTACTTGGTTAAAAGAATATACTTTAACAACAGCTTAAGATGCATATTATGCAAAGCTTGCCTCATCATTTTTGGAAGAATGTCAGGTAGACTATAACATTGACTTACCTATTATTGATTAAGATGATTTTGAATCAATTTACTATAATTCACTTCTTAATGGGTAATGTCCAAAATTAGAATATTTTATCACAGCAGGAGGTGCAGCCAAGCCATAGCTAAAAAAATAAGATGATTCTTATAAAACAGCAGCTTAAGTATATCATCTTGCCACTATTTGCAATGATAACAAAGTCCATGAGGCAATTTAAGAAGCTATCTTTAACTTCTAAGAATTATATGATGGAGTCTCAGGAGTATTGGATAGAGATAATTCAGCAGCAGTAACTGCATCATTATTGTATTCTTTTTTTACTTTTAACATTACCAATCTCCATCCCAAACTATAAGAAATCCTCTAAAATTAGATATATCAATAAACAATTATCAACTTTCTATTCTAAAGAACTACAGTGTTAGGATCTATTGATGAATAATATTGGATTACTAAATTATTCTAATTAACTTAAGTTAATTCAATAATCTATCCAATTTTCTAAGATTATTACTTGGTGAATAAGGGAAAAGCTTTAATTAATATTAAGTTTGTAAATTTCAAAGGTGAAAAGGTTTAACCAACAGAAGTAAAAGCTTTCATTAATAATGAAAATTATACTTATACACCAATAAAGTCAAAAGAATTTAGTGGTTATTTTGAAGTTTCATAAGTTGGCTCACTTCCTTTTGAATTACATTTCCCTAATTATGTTGTAAGATTTATTATTAAAGATTTAAGTTTAAATACACAATTAAAGTATTACATGAGATTGAGATTGAGGAAGTTATGTTTGATGTTGTTGATTCCAAGACTTCAAAACCAAATTTCCATCATAGTGTTGAAAATGGAGAAGAATATCCTGCAATTTTAAATGCAAATGAAAAAAGTTTCCTTCATGTCATTATTAAAGTAATTAACTAATTTAAGTAGACTAAAAAATAAGTTAAATCATAAGTTGCCATTAGATTAGTTCATCCTAAACATCCATCTGCTACTACATAAGTTTTTGCAGAGTATGATACAAAAAGAAAGATTTATTATGGTATTATTGATTTTGGAGATCCTGATCATGTTACACCACTTAATGCAATCTATTAAGTTGAATTACTTTTAGCTGATTCAAATGTTGTACCTAAAAGATGGAGTTTCCTTAAAATAGATACTAAATTTTAGGCTTAAACTACCTTCTAAAATGATAACTATTATAAATTGCCTTAGGAAATTGTTCATTAATTCAATTAAGAATAACCTGAAGTACCATTCCTTGTAAGTTTATTATTATATTCTAGTTTGTTTCATTTTTTGTTGTAATTATTGTTATTGCATTTGTATTTTTCCTCAGAATCCTCTCAAATTTAAACTTAAGCTTTGACAAATTGCCTAAAGACAATTCAACCATTGTTTATTTGTTCCTTGCTTTAATCATTGGATTATTTGTTGTTTTAACACTATTTTGGATTAAATTAAATTTGATTGAGACAGTAACAGTTTTAGGAATCTTAAGTGTACCATTAGTAGTTGTTGGAAACTATGCACTTTTAGCATTAAGAAAATCAGAAAAATTAGATTGATAAATAATATATATAATGCAATGTGTATTTTAATTATTTTTTTGTAATATTATAAAATCAATTATATATTAATATATATATATAATGAATTATAATTATATCCTACATTATTTATTAGTTTTGTTTCTCTTTAACAATCTAGTAATGTTATCAAAAGAGTTAATATGAAATTTCTTTAAAAAATTAATGAGTCATTATGAATTGGATAAATAATGGTCTTTTTAAATATAATATTTATATTTTAGATAAAGTTAAATAATATAAAAAATAAATTTAACAGTAAATATATAATTAACTCATTATTTATTTAGATATTCATAAGTTTTTTATTTTCACTAATAGTTTAAATAAATAAAATTTGTAGAGTAATAAATATTTAAGATAACTAATAAAAACATAATTATAAGATAAAAATGATCTTTTTATTCTTTTCATTAAAATAATTAATTATTTTGGTATATAGTTTTTTAAGAATTAATAAAGACTTACATATTTGTTGAAGGATTGAATTCATTTTAAATTCTATAATAAGAGAATGAAATTTATATATTTTTAATTTCAAACTAAAAATGTTGAGACTTATAAATAAAAGGAATATATTATCTATCAAAATTTTTGGAAATAAATAATAATATAAAATATATAATAAGTAAATATGATTCCAAAAAGAGCCAAAATCTCTAGTTTATATGAAGAGAGTAAAACAATATCTCTTGATGATATGGAAACTCCTTAATTTAACAATACAAGAAGAAGAGTACTAACATAAATTGAAGATGATCAACCTAAATTGATTTTACCAAAGATTAAGTTAGGAAATAAACACTCTAATCCTTAAAATATAAATAATAACGAGAAAAAGTTTAAATTAACTGGAGCTAAAGATGCATTTTTTAGACCAAGATAAATTAATAAGTTACCGTAAATAATCTAAAAATAAGGATTGAAAAAAAATGAAATTAATCTATCTTAACCTGAAATTAGAGAATTATATTCCTACTAACGTAATAAAGCATCTGCCTATACTCTCAGTATTCATGATTGATATTTGTAAAGCATATTTCACAACTAATTATTATATTTATTATTATTGATTATTCAATGTATTATCAGGAGAATTATAGAAAAGCTCATCAATATCTCATCTAAAGACAAAAATAAATTGATTTTTAACCAAATAAATTAAATCAACCATAGATTATTACTATACGTAAAATCTTAGAAGTAATACGTTCAAAAGATAGAAGTAATAGTTACTTAAAATACAAAAAAACTATAGGATAAGAAAAAAAAGAAGAAACTCATTCACCATAGAGGCTTATTACTTCAAATTAAGAATCTAAAAATAATAATCGATCTATTGTATCTAAATTATTAAGATTAAATAAAATCACTCGTAATAAAACTTAAGTTACACCTATTTAATATAATTTTATAGATAGAATTATAGAGCCTATTAAAAAAAAAATAGAAATCTAATCTGAACGAAATTCACCTTTAAGAATTCGAAAAAATATACCATGTATTGACTATTAAATGTCTACTTAAGTACTAATTTCGGATAATCAGAAATAAATCAATAAAATTATGACTGATAGACAATTTTTCATTTAGAAACCTAGACTTATAGAAAATATTAATTAATAATAAGCTTAAAGTAAGAGTATATAGAATTGTCTATCTCATCATTAAAGTATTCGTACAGAATAAGCAAGTCCATCTTTAAGGAGATTAAATAAAACTAGTTATCAATGTGAATAAACAAAAAATAATACTAATTAAATTAAAAATGAAAATATTGATAAATAGATATAATTAATTAGAAAAGTAAGTGGTTGGACTATTTAAAGTTAAGATAGTATTTAAACACCCTTCTGAACTTTATGATTTTTTCTATTTGTTACTAATTTTATTATAATATTACAATTAATATGTTTAAACATTATGAAACAGGTGTAGATGATTTAATCCTGAAATTGTAGAAACAGATAAGAACTACTAATTTTGAATTAAAAAGAATGAATCGTTTTTTTCTTCCTTAAATAATAAACAAGAGCTCTGAAAGTGAACAATGTAAGAAGGTTCTTAAAACTTTGGAGGATCCAATAATGAAACAATATTCTAATCAAAAGTATTTAGACCATAGTGAAAATTCAATCCGTAATAAATCATATGAAGTAAAAAAAAGTAATTGTATCAAACCTCCAGTTGAATTAGTAAAATTAGATGAATGTTAAGTATTTGTTTGGAGAATTTCAAATAAAAAACCTTACAACACCTTTAGAAACTCCAGATTTTCAAATGCGTAAAAATGATTTGAATTACTAAGCTTATTATATGTTTATATACATGGTATCATTAATATTATTATATAAAATCATTTTTATCAAGCTATGAATACAATGATTAATTATTCTTGTATGTATTAATAAAATATTTCTTAATTTATTACATTATTTAGTTTAGTCTTAAACATCTTCTATTTTTAATTAGAATTTAAAGATGATATATTTCTAATTAAAATAAATAAAGTAAACAATTTCCATAAATTATTAGTATTATCCTCAATTATTTTTAATTCTAATATTTATTATTATATAAGAAATGAATGCATATGCTCTGAAATTATAAACAAAAGTATATATCATTGGAAGTCTTATTTCAATAGCAGCTGCCTATGATTATCTACTTGATGTTAGATATATAAATAAAGTTTATGATATCAAATAAGAAATTAATAAACCTGTATTAGCAATTTCCAAAAAAGTACATAAAATTGAACCAAAAAAATTAAAAGATTAGCTGATTGTGATGATGTAAATATATTTTTAATTAAGACATCCATTATCTTAAGAACATATTATAACAAGAGTGGAATTAGTAGAATAAGATAAATTAATTCATTAAGAATAAAATTCATTATTTGAAATGCAACTTCCTTAAGGAACATTTTATGGAAGAATAAATGAGAAAAAATTAATGCAAAATGATTTTGGTAATATTCAATCGCAATCATAAATTATTGGGATTCCCTTTTTATTAATATGAAAATAATTATAAAGAATCAAATATTGAGTTTAAAATATAAAATCACATACTAAATATTAATGGAAAGTGTGGATCCTCTTTTTATCTATCTTTAATAGAAGTCAAAGTTTTTATGAGATCATAATTGATTTCATGTGTAACAATTGAATCTTAATTATAATTTGGATGTGATATAACAAAATCTCTCATCCATGTAGCAAGTGTTTTAGTATTTCCATAAACTTTACTTTTCACAAATTCTATTACTTCATCTTGAAGTTTCTTATTCTTTTAATATATATATTCTTCCTTTTATGCACATTGTTATTTACTAACAATATTTCTATTTTAATAAATTAATCCTATTATTCCAATAAAAGATCCATCTTATTTACCAAAAAATATTTCTTTTAAATATAATTCTTCTATTACAGCAGGACCATATTCTTAAAAGTTAGTTCTAAAATAGAATTTTTAATTTAAAATAGCTCCTTTTTCTTTTGATCTTCTCATATTTTCATCAACAAGAGATAAAGGCATATAAAAATTAACTGGAATTAAATTCTAAAGATAAAATTAATAAATTACTGTAAAAAACAATCTAACAATCATTAGTATCATTATAGACCATGCAGCATTTTCTTCAGCAGTCAATTAAATTTCCATTGTTCTAAATTCTACTCTCCATCCTATTTTTGAATTATAAGAAGGAGGTGGTTTAAATCTTACTGAATTCCAATTACTTGATTAGATTGCTTCAAAATGTGCTGTATTATCATCAATATGTATTTTATCTTTAAACATAACCATATTATCTCTTAAAAATAAGATTCCTAAATGTCTAAGTAATTTATCATCTAAAGGAATTTCCATTTCTTTTGCTTTTTATTTAGCAAATTACATAATTTCTTCATTAGCTGGAAAATTAAGATCATTATATTCCTCTAAATTCATTTTATCATTAGAAATGAAATATGAAATTGAAGAATATCTTGATTTAGGTATATAATTTGGATGTTTAGGATTTCTTTCATATTCACTTCTACAATCAACTGACATTTCTAAACAATCCCATTTAGTATCCCAATTAGATAATTTTCCTTTATATATTGGACTACCTGAAGTTAAAGCTGCAAATAAAGGAGCCAATACAGCTAATTAATCATATAATAATCTTGCATGATCTATATCAATACTCAAATAAGTAGTTTAGAGTGCACAATTTCCCATTCCAAAACCCATATGATCCATTGTTATATATCTAATAATATTAAAATAATAAAAATACCCTGGATTTGGTTCATATTCACTTTATTCTATTTTTGTATTTTAATCAATATACAATGGTATTTTGATTTCAACTTTTGATCCTCTTCTTAATCTAATATTTTAAGCTAAAGTTGAATATCTAGGATGTGGATTAATGATTCTATCATCAAAGTATATACTTTAAGAAAAGTAATTACAAATAGGTTCCACTGGTAATTCTTTATATGGTGTTGCTGGTTAAATCAATTTTTCATTTTGGAATTATTTTTCATCTTATTACAAAGTTGGAGTTCCTTCTATATAACTTGTTTGACTTCTAATCTTCTCAATCATAGAAGCTGTTAAATCACTCTCAACTGTTGTTGTAAATCTACCAACTCCCATCATTGGATAAACTGGAATAAGTAAATATTGATTTCCTTATGGTAAATAACTTTATAGTGTTTGAATTCTTTTTCTCATATTTATTAAGACTTAATCAAAATTGAAACACATGCATTAATATGGTTTATTTGGAGTTAATTCAATCATCCAAGCACCAAATTCTGGTAATATTACAAATGGTAACTTTTTTTATTGTTCTTCACCTAAACTTTAAAATAAACCACCTATATTAATCTATATTTATATTTACTAGTATTAGGATTCAAAAGTGCTAATTTCTAATCATCATACAATTTTATAACATGACCTTCAAATTCATCACCCCAAAATAATTACATTTTAGTCTATACTTATTTCAGATTAGGATCTGAGAGATGTTCAAATTAATGTTCATGTAATTAGAATTTTCCAAAGATTTTTAACAAACTCAAAAATTACACTATTCCTTTTTCTTTAAGCATCTATTAAAATGCTAAAGATTCAAAGTAATCATAAGTTACTCCTTTATCATTCAAATACCCCATTGAATAAGATTTTTATTTTTTTAATGAATTTCTAAATTCTTAATATTTGTATATATATTAACAATTCATTATTAAAATAACAATTTTTACGGAAGTTATTACATATTATCCCAATTATAATGAACTAATGTCTTATCAAATGTTGGAATACTAAATAAACCTTTTCCTGTATATTATTTCATTTCATTTTCAAATTCCAATTTTTCCTCCATATTCTTAACTATTTATAATTACAATTATATAAATACATTCTTTTTTTCTTATATCTTATTATATTTAAGGTAATTCCCCATCTATTTATTCTTTCATATTATATAATATTCTATGCAAATGAAATTCCTTTTGAGTTTAATCAAATTCATTAAACTATTATAAATATTCTCTTATTATATTTATTGAATCATTCAAACTAATTTTATCAATTTTATCATTTTTCTAATATAAAACAAATTATCCTCTTGGAAGAATAGCTAAATAAATTTATTCTTTGACTAAATGTTTAAATATGTTGAATTAATCAAAATATTCTTCTGATCTTTCAAAAACATATTTTTTTTATTCTTCATCAGTTAAGTATTCTTGTAATATATTTTTTAATTCTTCATCATTAATATCAATAGATCTCATTAACATTGTGTCTCCATTTTTAAATGATTAAGATAAATTTATTCCAATTTATTTATTTATATCCATTTATTCTACTCCTAATCCAATTACTATTGCAAATGTGCTATTTGGTTAATGGAATTATTCTTAGAAATAATATAATTTGAATTATTTTTAATTTTTTTATTTCATTAATAATTTAAATTAATGTTTGATTATCATATTATCATAATCTATAGAAAGTAATAAACTTAATGATTTATTCATATTTATTTGATATTATTTATAAAGATAATGATTCAGTTCACTTGAATGATATATGTATTAATTGTGAAAGAACTACAATAAAATATTATTAAAGAATTCTATAAAGTAATTACTATATCTATTAAATTATTAAAATAATTTTGTTAATTCTTTAAAATGACTAATAAATTATCTAAATATCTTAATGAATAATTAATTTTATTAAATTATATGAAAATATTATAAATTTGAATAGTAATATGATCAATCTTAAGTTGAATTTGAAATTGAAATATTAAATACTTAAGTTTAAAAGAATAATGACATTATCTAAATTTTTTGAATTATTTAATAATAAAAGTTATTACTATTTTTTATCTGTTAAATGAATATTGATCTCACAGAATAATTGCAAAAATACAGGCAAGAAATTCATAGTAAATTCAAATAAAAACAAATAATGGCTTAAACTATCTTTAAATTAGTATACATCTATTTGATATATTAATCTAGGCTTCTTAATAAAATAAAAAAGACAATGTCAATTTTGCTACTTTGAAATTAGACTTAGGTAAATAAAAAACAAAATAGAGAACTTCAGTTACAAGTATTTAAAAAATCTATATAATTTAGATTTTTAAGGAAGTCCTTTGAAAAATATGATAAGACAAAATTAATCACCAAATGCTTAAATGAGAAATGAATTTAATTCATCAAAGTTTATTAGTCCTATGAGATCTATGTCTCAATTTAAACAATCACCTTAATAATCAAAGTTTCAAATTCCAACACCAAGAGATGTTAATTAAACTTAAAGTGCTGTTAAATTATATTCATCAAAATATTAAAAAGTATTACCAAGTGAGTAAGGCAATTACTATGGTCAACTTTAAGCCAAATTAGATGGTTTAGCATAATTGATAGGATCTGAAGAAGATTATCATTAGAATGCTAAAGATGTTGAAAATGTAATTGAAGAAACAATTAACAATTTTCATAATTCAAATAAATAGAATAGATTTGATTAAATAAAAAGTTAATAGTAAATACTTGAATAAGATTTGAAACAATTAAATTTTAAAATATCAAGATTTAATGTGTATAAAGATTGATCAAATAATGTTACTTTTTTATTTTATATAGAATAACTTATAAAAATGTAAAATATAATTATACATCAATAAAATGTTTAAGATATATATATATATCTAATTAGAATAATAAAGAATTCTTTTATAAATAATTGCTTGATAATTTAATTATATTATTTACATAATTGTTTTTGAATCAAAATTAAGGATAAAAGAAATAAATTTTTATTGATAATAAATTATATCAAAAATGTCTGAATCTAATGTTAAAGGAAGAGTTTAAGCAATATTTGAAAAATTAGACAACATCTCAACTAGTGTCCAAGATGAGTAATCATTTTATGCATTTCTTTTATTCTAGGAAGAACAGTAGATTTCATACTATCTCATAACTCATTATGGCTTTTGAAGCATAATTATAACATAATTCAGAATAAAAAGAAGAAAAATTCAATTACCTTGCATCAAGAATGAGATAACTAGGTGAATATTTAGAATAAGAATAGGAAGAGTATCATATTATAATTATTAATTATAGTCGTATAAGATAAGAAGCTGAAACCTAAAAATTACTAACTGATTTGGAAAGACATGCTCGAAAATTAATAGAATAGAACTCAAATTAACGAGTAGAATAAGAAAGAAAAATTGTTTATTAGATTGGTTAATAGATAGATAATTTATAAGGTGAAGTAGTTAAAGAAGGACTTGTAATAATTTATAACAATATTTTAGTCTTAATCTGAATCATATTAATTTGTTGATGCATATATAAATGAAGATCTTCCAAAATTAGCAGATTAATTATAAAATGAAATTGGAGAGAGAAAAGAAGTAGAGGAAAAAATTTAGGTATAATTCTTTCAATAATTAACAGATTTAAAAGAAGCTTTTGATAGGTAAACAAAAGATTATATATATTATTATAGAGAGAAAAAGGAAAGAGAAGCAAAAGAAGAAGAAATTGTTGAAAGTTTAAGAGAAATATCAGGTAGAATAAGTGAAGCTTTGAAAAAGACAAGAACAGAAAGAGAAAAGACAGAAGAAACTCTTGTATAATTGGTTGAGAAAGTAGTTGAAAAGATTAAACGTGAAATGTTAGAAATGAATTTATGAAAATCATTTCTCATAAATAATTATGAAATAAATTATATTCAATTTAACTTAGAAAATAAAGTCCTTTTTAATTAGAATTAATTAATAATTGCAAAACTGTTAATTTTTTAATCTCTTCTAACATTAAGCATTCTTAATTATATTCATTAAAAAGAACTTCAAAGATATTTTATTAAAAAAACATAATTAATTTCAAATCTAAAATTTTTTTATCATTTTCCTTAACCATTTGATACATCAAGAGAATAAATAACATCAAATTATTTTATTTAGTTAAAGAAAATTAATTGAAATCATTAAAAATTAAAAATATAAAAAGATCGATAACAAAGTTAATTTAATAAACTACTTATTAGATATTTCTATAATAACAAAATAAATGTTTGTTTTATAAACTTTATTTTTATTGTCTTATTATAAATTTAAATAGATTTTAAAATTTTAAACTGAAATATAAGTTTAAATGAAGATATTACATCATTATAATAAGTCCAACCCTTATTGAGATGAATGAGATATATAGTTAAAGAAAAAAATTATTTTATAGTTATTAAAGATTCAAATAGAATTATTTATACAAGTATGGAATTGAATTTTACAAAAAGGTTTAGTATAATCTCATAGTTTGAATTATAAATACACAAAGTTAACATAGGAAATTAAATAAATTTTGTATATTCTTTTCCATAAAGAAATGTAGAATAATTAATTATTGGTATTATTTACCTGAATTTTTATGTAAAAGCATATTTAATATATTAAATTATAAAAAATAATGGGATAACCCAATCAGAAGGCTGCACCTGTTAAAGCAAGAGATCCTATGGACATTCAATTAGATCTAAGAATGACATGGAAACGTCTTGAATCTGAATCAAAAAGAAGTTTAAAAGAATAAGATAAGAATATTGCAAAGGCAAAAGAGGCTTTAAAAAAAAATAATGAAGAAGGAGCTAAGCTATTTTTATAAACAGCTATGGCAAAGAAATAGGAAAGTGAAAATTTATAAAAAATGGCAACAAGGATTTAATTTGTGGAATCACAAGTAAAAAGTTCATAAGCTAATGCTGATGTATAAATAAAATTTATAAGTAATTTAGATGATGTAATAATTGAATGTTGTTACACCAATTATGTAATAATATGCAAATACTATGTCAGTTGAATAATTATATTAAAATATTAATCAATTTGATAGAGCTTTAGATGACATTATGGTATAAGGTAAAGTAGTTGATTAAATGATGAATAAAAATTCAAATGATTTTTAAACAAATATGGCAGTAGATTAGATGATGTAATAATTAAAGAAAGAAGAAGCATTAAAATTACAAGAGCTTTAACCATCAAGTATAAATTTATTTAATATAATTATTAGATATGTAATTTCAATAATTACAATAATAGTAATAGTAACCTTAATATCAAAACCAATAGCAATATCAATAATAGAAATATTGATTTAGATAAACAAAATATATCATTAAATTATGAAATTTCTCAAACTTAACCTTAAAGATCAACTAAAATAACTGTGATATCATCATGTAACTTTCTTCTTTTACCTAATGGAATCTTTCTAATATCTTCATCAGACATTTTATTAGATTTGGCTGCATGAGATAAGGATTCTTCAAAAATTTGTTTAATAATTTCATCTTTGTTATTTTAATTTTTTTAAACAATCTATTAATAGTATGAAATGATACTTTTGAGATTTCAGACTTTGTTAATTCATCCCATAATCCATCAGAGCCTAAAACTAAATATCTATCTCCTTTTTAAATTTCAAATACATTTTAATCTGGTGTAGACTAAAAATAAATAAACTAAATACACTAATATAAGGTCCTTTAAAATTCGAGATAGATTTCAAATATCCTTTATCTTCTGATATATTTTTAGGATTATTAAATTCCTAGAATTTTAATCTAAAGTCAC